CGTGAAATTAACAATACCCCGAGCATCTTAGAAAATGTCTTTAATTCTTTGAGGAACAGGTGTGAAAAGTGCTTGGAACAAGGAGGGGGACACTTTCAGCAGCTGCTTTAATTTATTGTTATAACAAGGAGGGGGACACTTTCCGCAGCTCCTTTAATTGTTTGTTATTGTTATCACGATTATTCTTTAAAATAAAGTTATATAGTCATTAACGTTATTGAAACTGACAGCTGCTATACAGCTCGTTGAGAAATGAGGTTAAGTTGGTCGCTATAAGCTACTCCCTACGTCCAATGTGTCAGAGCCAACTTCGACCACGTTTTTATTTGAACGCTCGTTATTAAATTATTCCCAATTATCTAAGTACCAAAATTATGAAAACGAAAACAAAATTAAGAACACCGAAATATCAAACGAATTATGCCGATTAAAATTGTAGATTTTTTTCAGTGTACTGACATTAATCTTCAAATTGCTGGGAAAAGTAAGAAGTTCCCGTTATTTTCTCAAATAGTCCTTTTCAGTTCCACTGAAAATAAAACATTTTACATATACCCCCTGACATCCAACTTTCATTTATCACTTTTTTACATTTCCTCTCGCTTTGAAACTTTTTCCATCTTCCATGTACGCTTCATCTTTTACATCCCACTCGATATCATTTCTTTGCCGTATTGATAATAAAGACTTTACATTAGCCCATTGTCTATACTTACAATGTACAATGCCTTCCTTAACAACGTCCAAAAACATCTGGTCTTCCCCCACACAATAGTCGACCTTCCGGCACGAGATGGCTGTAAATGAGGATAAATGATTCAAGGTCCTCGCTCAGGGGCGGCACGCGAATCTGGAAATAGAGGGGTCGGTTTTAAATAGTTAACGATCTAAGTAACACAAATAGATCTTTCGATAACTCTCTCGTTGAAGTAGTTTAACTGCTTTATCAATAATGTTTAAGGTCTCATTGAATATCTTAAAAATGTATTTATCAACAGTAAAATTACAAGAGCTTTTCTTTTTATCGGATAGATTTCTTTTTCTAACGAAATAATTTTGCCAATCAGTAATTTTACGAAAAAAAATCGCGAGACCGAAGGTCGAACGATTTTGTCAAATGCCAGTTTTTCGAGCAAAATTGCTGATTGGCAAAATTTTCGATTACGGACTGCAATTTACAAGCTTACAAAAGCCCGCCATTCCCCGGTATCGAAATCCTTGACCAAACTACATCTTAGGCTAAATAAATTCGATCTTAGAGGCATGCCGAGACGAGCAAGATTTCAAATTAAATTTTTAATAAAACGTTGAGCGGTAAAGAGAGGTTTTCTTTTGTTCGGGTATTTAATTTAGGGAGCTTCAGCTTGCCGCTGGCGTTCTGACTTGGAGAAGTTTTTTTTTTTTGTTGTATCTTACTTGATATGATTATGTGGGATGAGATGTTAAATTAAAAACTTTGAGGCTCGGAATCGAGTTAGAGATGTAGGAAGCGATTGTGAAAACGGGAGATGGACTGTCCCAGTGTTGATATTTTGTCTCTGTCTCTGAATCAGTCAAACTATACTACTTATTTCATTTATTTGGCTTTTTCTGTAGCAGTTGTTAATTATTGTACTTTTAACTTAATGTATTTGTATTCAATATGTTTTTCATTCAAATATTTCTTAATTTTTCTATGCATATGTTAACAGTTTTTCTATTAGTCCACTATGGTAAGGCGCACTATCTATGACAGTCACTGCATTAGGGAAAGCTTTTAAAAATTGTAGGGTCTACAGAAAGGCATCTAATGAAATCATAAAACACAGAGTGTTCTATTTGAAAAAGTCGAGATTTTTCAAATTATAAATTATCAGATTTGGCACGATTTTTTTTGCCCCCTGTATATCGCAGGTCAACTTTTGATACGTTTTTTGAAAGAGCCATCTTCACTCTACTGTTCCCGAAAAAAAATAATTTCTAGCTGTCATACAATCATATCAACTACTAGAAGTGACGAAACATAAAAAAAATGAAAAGTCGATTATCTCGAAAACTATCAATATTTTAATAGGGATTATAACGCAAAGTCCCGTTAATTTTTCACGTAGAATTCGATAATGCCATAAAAATATAGGTTTCCATTTAAAAAAATTAAGTTGGTACCTGCCCAGGAAAAACTGAACACCCTGTATATGAAAATATATTTTCATTTTGTACACCTCGGGAAAGTAGGTAACTCTGTAGAAAAAAAAAGTTATATCTTTTATTAACCTAGATATTGGACTTACGCGCACTAGATGGTAATTTAAATAACGAAAATTCATTTTATGCCTAGTATGCAGCAGAATTTTTTTTGGCAAATCTTGTCCTTTGCTATGCAGTTTCAATTTTTTTTTAATTTTCTCTAGTTTTTTAACATACAACAAACATCTTCTGGGAGGAATTGAGAAATCATCATAATTTGAAGACTTTTCCCGCTAATCATGGCTGATGATGCTATAGCGTTGATAATGGCACTCTCTCGAGTTAGGTACCACTTTTTAAAGTACCGAGCTAAAATTTTCATAATTTTTATTTTTTTTTTGTTAGCCGAAGGCATCAATTAACAGCCATAATTAGCAAGAAATATCAATTGATTCCTCAATTCGTTCCAGATGTATTTACCACATTATTTTTCACAGTTTCGTCGATTCTGAAAGTTATCAAGGTAAAAGGTGATACACCCTGTACATGGCATACACCACTGTGGTATAAAAAGCATGCAATTCTATGCAAATTCAATCCCTAACGTATTTAACACAATAGATAAATGAAAAGGTATTTCTGGTAGGCGTTGAACGCGGTTATTAAATTTGGCGACTAAACAACAGTGCAACTTCCGAAGAGAGTTGGAAAATTTAACACATTATACTCTCGTTACGTACATTTCCCATTAGTTGGGACACTGGCGTGATTAGTTTTAATCAGACAGTAGCGGCAAATGCTGTGTTGAATTTATCACTGTACCGATAAGGTCTTTAGAGCAAGTACGGTAGAACCTTGTGGAATATTATAATTATTTTCTTTAAGATTTGCTGCCCTTTGTTGGAAATTTTGATAATAATAACATTAAGCGAGTTCGCAGTCACGTTTTTGGAATTGAATACGTCTGCGAACGTCGCTGGGACTTGTTAAAAAGTTCGTAGAATATTTAGGCTGGCGACGCGACGGTGCTGTCATACTAATTTGCCGTCGTTGCCATAAACACCCTCGCCATCGACTTGCTGATTTTACTTTTTTTTGCATAGAGCATCTGCATATTGCAGATTTGTTATTATTATTTTTATTATGGGTAGACATAAATTAGTATAATTGGAACAGATTCATACATTTTAAATATAATCCTAAAACTAGTATCTATTAGTTAAATTATCTATTATTAAATTATCTTGGGCCTTTTATAAACGTTTTTAAATAATTTTGTCAAAATGCTTGGAGAGAATCAATAGTCTTCTTGGTCGGTCGAGGGCTTAAAGTTTAACGTATCAATCGTTCATAGGGAGTCAGATCGAAAATAGAATCAGTTGTGCCGATAGCAGATCTGCGTGGTTGATAGATTGGCATCGGTTGCCGCGTGATTGTTCCCCTAATCACTGCGGTTTTGCAGGGATCCTACAATGAATTATGGTTGGGCTTTGACCGTGCAAGGCCGTATGCGACATCAGTACGACATGAACACGACATTCCAACGATATGTAAGTAGGTACTCGATGTCGCGAGTGTTTATGTAATAAATGAAGCTACTTACCTGACGTCGCGTGACATGGAAATTGTTGCGATATTCAGTGTTCTACTGGCGCTTCCTTAGAAACTAAAAGGCCTATTTAAAGTCATGATGATTATTGCAAGTAATTGTTTTAATAGACACTTATCGTTATTTCATTTTAAAAATTATTTGCTAATTATTTATAATCATTTAATTGGTCTGATAATAAATTCAGTTTTGTATAAATACCGACTGTACTCCACCTACAAAACCACATCGTAGCAAGCGAATCCAACAGAAAACAGGTGAGTCGAATTCTATTTTTAAATTTCAAAATTCCTTAGAAAGTATTAGTACCTAGCACCTATAAGTTATTAAAAATGTTTCATGTCATAAAAATTGAATGTTTTTATCCACGATCAAAAACAGCGAAAAACCTAATTGTTCTTTATGTAAAATTATAAATTTTTCTTGGAATTAGTGGTAGGTATGGATTATTAATCTATACTTTTGCTACTAACAGAATAATTTTATGCCAAATAAGGTTTTTCCATACTTTGAAAAATAAAAACAAACGTGTTCATTATTTTTACGAATTTTAACGCCCCTTGTCTCTTTTAATCTTTAAAATAAATTTAGGAAACAATCGAATAACGATTTTTTATCAATTTTGCACTTTGCACTTATTTTTGCATATATTTTCTGTTTTTAAAACTACAATTTCTTTCAGATCATATTTTTCAGCTCTAAACCAATTCCCATAATGAATTTCTTCAAAATAGTATTCATGATCGCTGCCGCTGTTGCCGCTTTCAGCGGCTATTACGTAGAAGCTGCCCTCAGGTAAATATTTATATAGTTTATAAATATTTAGCTTTTAGGTGATCATCATTAGTTATACTCATATAGACATATACTCAAAACTTTTTTCAATATCAGTACTATGGTTGGTTCGAATTTTTCTATTGTAAAATATGAGCAAATATTTGAAAAAGTATACTTTATATTTTTTTACAGTCCTACTGCCAGTCCTCAGGTCAACTATTTGGGACCCACAAGCAAATACGATTGAAAAAAGGGATATGACTTTCTTGTATATTGTCGAAATGAAATGAGAAAATAAAATTTATTTAGAAAAAATATCATTTTTAACTCCCCACCTACACAATATTATTTATAAAACAAGTTGGTGAAAATTACCACAAGAAGTTTGAATGGACTAGAGGTCAATCCACGACAATGATTTTTTTAATATCTTCTAAATTAGTTGAAGTAGCAGTACCAAATTTAGTCGTAAATAGTTAAGTATAACAACAGTGCGATCTGGTGCTTGTTTTTCGAAAGTACTTTTCATTTTTTGGGATATTTTCTGTTTTATGATTTTTATGGTTTGAAAAATGAGAGCGAAAATGAAGAGTACCACGCACATGAAAAGTGGACGGTGCAAAGTTTTTCTGTTGTATTAAGTAGTTTGCACTTTCTCTTTTTCAATTTTTAATTAGGTACCTACCAAAAAGTAAAAAGTAAAGAGTAATTTGGTTTCTTAACGAATCTATAAAACACTTTTCATATCGTACTTTTTAAAATGGCATTTGGAATCGTAAATATGACGTTTTAAAGGTAAAGTAATTTTCTAATCAGCTTAGTAGTAGTGAAAATTACTGTAGGCGGTAATGAAGTTGGTGAATATTCAAGAAGACCGATCTAGACAATTAGGACAAGTCTCAACATACAGACGACGAGCTCCAACTCCATTATATTATGGGCATGTCCATACATAAAATGCATGTCTACTATTTCTGTACTGCCCAGTCGGTGGAAGTAATTTTGCACCAAAAGCACAAGTAATTAGCAATATGGCTGATTTTTTTATAAGTTCTTCAAAATAAGATAAAGTTCACTGGTCTGTCAATTTCCCAAAGTCCAAAAAATGTTGGAGAGCATTTTGATTTTCGAAATTCTTTAATATTTTGGACTGGGATCAAGATAGAGAAAAATAAAAATACTGTCTTGTAGAAGAACTTTTTTTCAACAAAAAAGATACATCGCACTTTTTTCGTCCTAGCTATGGTTTGTCTGGAAAAAACTATTAAAGCCATGAAGTCATCTTCCGCGGGCAAACAAGCTAATAAATTCATTCTTCAAATATAAAAATTGTCAAATTTCAGTCGAATATTGAAAACATTAATATGTGGAAATGAATATTCGATCTTAATTCAATACAAAAAAAGTAAAATATAAAATTTCAAAAAATTTTAAAAATTTTCGAAAAAAAATTTCCAATTTTTTTTTTAGATTTTCGGATATACGACAAAAAATTTTATACCTATTTTCACGTACTGTATTTGCTGACTATTTGCATTATACTCTGCATATTCGTCTTCATATTGCAACACTATCAAATTTTATATTAAACGATCAAAGGAGATTTGCACCTGAAAAATTGCTATTTTTTATAAAATACATAAAATCATTAAAAGTGAATAACGTTCGTAACCAAATGAATTCACGCTTAAAGATTCTTAATCTCAACATTTTAAAAAGTCTCATTCAAATTAGTTTAGTTTTAATAAAGTACCAGAGGCTAATATAATATTTTGCCGTAAACTCAAGATTCCTAATGTTTTTAAAATAACTATAAGGGTCGTATTTCGTAATTAGATAAAATCCATTACCCGGAAATTTTATTTGTGAAAGGAATCACCTAAATAACAATTCCCGACGTTGAAAACATTTTTTCGAACTATCTTATGTTTAAGTATATTTGTCATAGATGCTCGGTTTTCTATTCGAATATACAGGGTGTCCGCGTTTTTTTGTAGCAGGACTTTCACGACTTGTACTAAGTCCTTTAAAAAAAAGGTTAATGTAAACATATATGTATGGATGCGTCGTTTTCGATTTACAGTATTCAAGTTTAAAATGAGAATTGATTTTTTATTCGTAAAACGAAAACCCCTTTTTAGACTTTGTTGAAACTTGGCAACTTTGTTTGTAATAATAATACTCATTTTCTCACACAATTTAATTTGTCATATTTTCTCCAGTGGCGTCACAACAAGATAACAGCTTGATAAAAGTAGAAAAAAATATGGTACGCCACTGATTTTTGGTAAGTTTGAAATTTTCCTCTGATTTAGCTATCAAAAATACAACTTTTTTGTTATTTATTTTTTTTCCTCGGGAATCGATAGACGAATGAACTTTTTCTTATATTATTCTGTATACTTTAAAGTACTTAAAAAAATCAGCCATAGTGCTAGTCATTTGTTCCTGTGGCGTCCACCGACTGGGCTATATTATTTATGTATTAATAAAAACTTTGCAACACAAGAATGTAAAAATGAATGTACTCCTAACCTTTAACAGTAATAATTAATTTTTTTGAACCTAACATTATCTATTTTTATTCGTATAAATAAATAACTCGTATTTTTGTAAATTATCTGATTTTCTGAAATCGTGCAAAAATTATTTAAATGCACTAGATCCCTTACCCCGTTTTCCTCCCGACTTTCTCGTCGTGAACGACACCGAACAACACAAACGGAAAACTATTTTTTTTCCAGAACAACCACAAATTCAGTTGTTTCATAAATTCAATATTTAAAACCTTTACTGTTGTTAATAACTATTAATGATAAATAGCGTAGCGGAAGAGAAACAATTGAGACACACTGCGTATTTGCGCCCTTAATTTTGATTTATAATTTGAAGAATTACCGTCTGTGTAATTAGTACAAGTAATACTTAGTTGCAATTTACGTTATGCCCGCTAATAATTACCGTTTGTAGCGCCCATTAGTGAAGACCTACACACGGGTGCTGCTGGTACGTCTGCGGATGCAATAATCTGCATGCTGCGTGCAATTATCGCCGCCCGAGACAATTACATCGATCATCCGCGACCCCTCCCGCGCCATCCGCAGCCCGGGGACGGCGACAAAGGGAGGCAATTAATTAAAATGCGACCGGCGGGGAGAGACAAAAGTTCCCGTACACAGAGACACGGAAGCTAAAATAAACTTTGCAAACTGATTCGCATTTCTGGAATTTCAGCGAGTATAATTCAGCGTATACGGCCTGACACTGTGAAATGTATGCATAACGCGGGGCCGCACGAACACACAATGGGGACTCGTTGTGTGACCCTTGACCCCGCGGTCCCGGCGAATCGGCCGCATGGGACTCACACGGGGAACGCTTTGGAAGGAAAAAGGAGAGGGAAATAAATTCGTAAAAAGTCAGTTCAGTTCAAAAAAACTACAAAAAAAAACTGTCGTAGGTATTACAGTCTCTCCGAAGTCAGTTGAACATGTATAAAAACACCTAACAATAAAATTTAATCAGATTCATAGGCGTCCCTAAAGAAGTTTTATGCTAAAGGTAAAAAATTATAATAATTTGTATATAATGTGTAGAAAATTTCCATTATATTTTCATTTGGCTAACAACATATTTTAATTTATTTATGTCCTTACACAGTTTTATTACATTGATGGTAAATTTCGTTTTGTTCCATTTCAAAAGTCTCCAAAATGCCGTGTTGTAATAAATTAGTAAACAAAATATCCCTCTTATTTCTCCCTTTCGCAATTGTAATATGAGTTATTAATAGAAGGTGCCTATAATCAATTAAAATTACCTGAATTACACCAAATTCCGCATTGCTGCACTGCACTGCTAGGCAATTTGTCAACCACTTGTCAACAACTGAGATTTATTGCCCACTCGCACAGTGCGGCTGTGTTATACGCCGTTTGCCCGCGCGCGCATTCTTCAACTGGGCGTATACATTGCTACTACCTCCACGTTTAGTTCGACCAGACCTGTATGACTAAATAAATATGGAAACAAGTTTTTCAAATATTTCAATGCAAGATGGGAGAAATGTAACTTATAGGTAGAAATAGGTACAGTGAATTAATTTTTTTTAGAAATATTTTTAATAAAACAAGAAAAACATAAAAAATATAAATAACTAAAAAAATTAATGAAAATTATAAAATATTTAAAATTGAGCTTTATAGTCCAATCAATAAGTATCAAGAGCTTACAAAAAATACCACCTGGAAACAAAAAATATGGTGATATACGAAAAAAAATTCGAAGGAAGATAATGCTTTCCTATGGCGCATAAACGGCGAAGTTAATCTAAAAAAATCATAAAAGTAAAAAGACGGTTTTTCGCTTATAAACAAACTCCAATCGAAAAAAGTTAAATAAGAAAGTTGTAGCTATTAAAAAACCTATTAATTCGTATTTTTAAATTTATTGATTGCTATATTACTTTTCGAGATATATCGAAAAAACCGTCAAAAAACGATTTTTTTGTTTTTGTTGTATCTCTTGCAAATTAAGGTTTTGAAACTGAAAAGTGCCTTTTTTCAAATTAAGAAATTTTTTCGAGTGATCGATTTTTCGAAAAAAATTTCATCTCGAAAATCGGCTCTTCTGGCTGGACGAATAGTCGTAGAGAAACGAACCAGGGCTCATTTTTTCCTTAAGAGTTGTACTTTCATGGTAAAAAAGAGTGATAACGATTTAATTCATTTCAAGTGTCCCAAAGTGACTTAAAAAAGTAAAAATTTTTAGGTTACGTTTTTCTTGAATATCTTTTTCGATTTTCATTTCTCGATTATGTCTATTACATGATTCGATTGCTGGCAAACAAATAAAAATACCATGCCAGGAAGTTCAGTTCCAACTGACAACAATTCAAAGATTGGGGAAATCCGGAGTAGTCACTTGTCCAAAACTAGGGCGCACTTCGCCATAGGACCTCTGCTGACCCATCAAGGAATGCGATCGGACGTCTACCCTGATGTATGTGACCCTCTTAACATGACAAGGGATAATGTTGATAGGCCAACGCAGCAGACCAATCAAAATCCACGATACTAACCATCTTCTTTTCAACGTAAGAAGATAAATAATTTCGGAAAGTACATTTACCAACAACTAATTTTTTTTTAGTTTTTTTACGGTCCTAAGTTTCTTGTGTATAGTAGAAGAACATTATTTGTCTTCATTTGATAAAATTTTTTGAAAATTACTGTTTAGCTTTGAAATATATGTAATCAATTTTACTCAAAACCACATTCTTTATTAAAATTTTTTAAGAACAAAAGTTTTTTCAATTTCCTTCACATTTTAAGTCTAAACTTACATTTTCTAAGTATTAAAAAAATTATAATGTGGGGGGGGGGGGAGTTTAAAATGATTTGACAATTTCAAGAAAAGCATATCTTTTTTATTATTCGTATTTGCTTGTGGCTCCCAAATAGTTGGCTTCGGGATTGGCAGTAGCACTGAAAAGAAAAATGTAAGATACATTATTTCAAATATTTACTCATAATTTGTAATAAAGAATACACAAAATGTTTGATTGTATGTATTAAATTTAAAATATGCAACCATTAACGGTGAACTCTATGATCATTGACAATAGTTTTAAGTGGTATTATAAGTGAATGCTGAAAATTCAGAAACTGCATAGATATTTACCTTAGAGCAGCTTCCACGTAATAACCGCCCAAAGCGGCAACAGCGGCAGCTACCATGAAAACTACTTTGAAGAAATTCATTTTTAGGAACTGTTTTACAGGTGAAGATATGGTCTGAAAGGAACAGTAATTTTAAAAACTAATAATAGAACTAAAAATTAGGTCATTTAGAGGAGTCAGTCATTTTCAAAAATCGTTACTTGATTTTTTGTATATGTACTTTGAAAAAGGAACGTTAAAGTTTGTGAACGTAATAAATACCTATATTTTTTTAATTTTTCAAGGGATGGAAAACTTAAACTAAAATGAATAATTCTATATAACGATAATAAATAATAATTATGACATACCTAGATATGTTTTTAATAACTAATACAAGTACTTTAATGTTCTTTTCTAATTAATTTTGAAATAAAAAATAGAATTGGGCTCACCTGTTAACTGTTGACTTCGCTAGCTGGGATGTAGTTGTAGATGAATTACAGCCGCTATTTATACAAAAATGAATTCGTAATCAAACTAATTAAATAATTAACAGTAATTAGCAATTTTCTTATTGTTAAAATGAAATAATGATAAGTATCTATTAAAATAATTATAGGCAATAATTACAGTGACTGGAAGTTTTGTAAAATTATACCTGAAATCGAGATAAAAGTACGCTGGTAATACAGTACATCGATTTAAATAGGAAAATGTAGACAGCTGATGGTATTTTTGCAGTTATTTTCTTCCGGAAATAATTATTGTTTACCACTATCTCTTTCATTTATCAAAATGATAATGAAAGTTTATCAGATCTAGCAAATATACTGTCTCATATTCTTATGGAATTTTTTTTATAATTTTCGGACAGCAAGTAAAAATATTAAACAAAGATGTTTACATAAAAGGAATCGTTTTTTAGCAAAGTGCATTCCGTATAGAATAGTAAATCGGATAAAATGTAGTGTTTTGCATAGAATTTCACTTATCGAACGCCTCTATTATTGGCATAATTAAAAATAGATTCGTTTAAGGGTGCGTGGAGTATGAAGCAATTAATTATAATGGATTTGCGAAATAATTTTACAAATATGTTGACGAGGGAACTAATAAGTCGAGTCTAATTTAGCTAATAACGAGAATGATCCAATAAGTTAATTGCTGCTACCTTTATATCTCTATCAGATGCAAGTTAGGAATAACTAATGGAGATATCTGCAATTTAATCTCAAAATGTATTTCTTTGGAACAAAATTTAATAGTATGTTACTTTTAGAGACAGAATGGACAACTAATAGTACGTACTATTTTCTTTCTAGTAGGGTCACTTCCACAAGTCTCTTTTTCTAAATTCATAGTTCGAAATCATTTTTTCGTTTATAGTGGCAACAGCTTCCTGAATGTTCTACTTGAGAAGGTTTATCGGATACGGAGGTACGTCTAAAGTCTAACGAGAGTTTCTGTAGATTCGCTAGTGACTACAGTAGTAAGCCTTTAGATTTGGCAATGTTGTACTTGGCTGCGGCGTTCGCTCGCTCGCGTTCGATCATTCTGTTTGCTTGGACACCTGCAAATTTCAAATAATACGCTACTTCGAGACCGCGGCGTTGCCGCTATCACGCATGTGGAGGTTAAGTTAGTCAACGACAGCAGTTTGAAGGATAATTATTATAAATTATGTATCTTATAGGTACCTAATCGATTTCTACGAGCTGTCATACGGTTCCTTAGATATCGGTTTTCTATTTATACAAGTTGCTGTGGAAACTGTTCGTCAATTGTTGCACATTCTATGTGGAAAGACCAAAAAAATCTGCATTCTCATAAGACTTCGTACTAAACTGTGAAAAATTATTTTGTTAATATCTCGTCTCTTAGGTATCCAAACTAGTCATAATTTTGTTTGAGGATTTTCTTCATATTAATAAGCTTATATTAATTTTTTATGAATATTTGTTTGTCAATTCCAATTCAGATAAACCTCTAAGTAAATCAATGTTATAGTCAAAATCGTTTGAATACACTTTTTGCTTAGGTAATACAGTACACCCATAAGAAATAATCTAAGAGGGACAAGTCGGGTGCTCGTGTAGGCCAAGGTATTGGTCCATTACAAGTGTGGAATGTGCAGAACATCCGTATTGTTCAAATATTACTTTTCTACTGAACTCTAAATTTTCGTTGTCTAGTTCTGCAAAAACAAAATTGTTAAGAATTTCCAAATACGAATTTTTATTAAGATTTTCTTCCAAAAAGTACGGACCAATTATTTTATGATACATTATGGCACGCCAGACATTTACTTTTAAAATTTTTGATTATTAGTTATCAATCGAAAATTTAGATTATCTTTAACCCAATATCTACAATTTTGAAAGGACACCACGCCATTAGTTGTGAATCAACATTTATTCGTCAGTAAATAAAATATTGTGATGAAGGAATGTTTTCAATCGGTTTCTCGACCATTGTTAAACAAAAGTCCTCACGACAACCACCATCTCTCTCAAGGAATTTATGATTAAACACTGATTTGAAGGAATAGATTTTGTTGTATACTAAAATTCTTTGAGTATGAGATCTGCTAATGTCTATGTTTTCTGACCTATTCCTGAGTAACATCTTTGGATTGTCTTGTACAGAGTCCATAACTACAACAGTAGTAGCATTGTTTTCATTGTATTTTTTTTATCTTCTTAATATTCTTTACATCACAGCAATTGATGCAATTGATGTACATCAGGGGTCTAAGTATTCTTCTCCTTGTTGTGTTCCGAGTTTCAGTTTGTTTCGTTTTGCGTTTTGTTTTAGTTGTTAGTGGTTTATTTTTGTTTGTCATACCACTTTTTAAACATACCAGTAGATATCGACACTGTCAGTCCCAGGTCTGATAAAATGGGAGAGAAAAGTGGTTTGGCTTGAAGCTGTTACATAATTACTTTTTCGGACTTTAGAAAGGAACCTGATTTTTTTGGAAAACTGTTAGGAATAAGTATGGACAACCTTATATCAGTCAAAAGGGCATTCAATTTTGTATTCACCCATGACAATTAATATGGGTAATTCCATTTGAAAAAAAAAGTTTTTCAACTCGTAAGATTATTAAATGTAGGTCTCGGTATTTTCGAGTATGAATAACGGTTTAGACGCTATCTAGCCTCATTTAGCGAGCTGAAGTCGTGTTTTTTTTTTTAGAAAAACTGATTATCTCGAAAGCGGTAAGTTTTAAAGTCCATGTACATTTAATAAACTACCTAATATTAACCAAGGATTTCAAAAATGCAATAATATATAGGGTTTCAAGTTTTCAAGTTACAGAATTACAGAAGAATCCCTCTTAGGGTACAACACCATGTAAATAAATAAAAAATGTATATTTTATACATTCAGTGTACTATTTTCATTCCATCGACATGATTTTAAGCTTATTTTCCCCACAATACGGAAATTTCGCGACACTGGAATGAATATATTTATTTTAAATCTGGAAAAAAAAACGGATCTGCAGGATGGAGAGATACAAATTGTTCATTACGTTGTTGACAGATATATTAAAATCTGCCTTTTCGGCGAATGAGCTTCTTAATTAAAGAACTGTACGAATCCGTGCCCGTCGCTCTGATACGGCGTACGATATTAATCAAACCATCGTAAATAAGATATCGCGAGTTCATCTCCTACGCACCGCCCCCGAAATCATTTAGATTCGGTGCGGCGCTCTCTGGGATGACAAATGATGCCATGTTATTGATAAATACACCAATCTGAATTCGGTAGACGTTATTAATTATGATTCCTCCGGGAGTGAATTGGATACTCCCAACATTAATCATACGTTACTTTCGCCCGATAATGAACCGGGGCGCGCGAAAGGGTTGCCAACCCCTCGGTAGCGGACCGCGCGATCGAGAGCACTTACAAATTTTGGTCTTTGTCGTTTTTATCTGCCTGCAGACGGATTAATGCGATTTATTTCCTTGATGTTGGCAATTAAATTTCGGTAAAATTAAAAATTATTAAAGCAATGAGATTACTACACAACATTCTGTTTCACTGGATGCGATTGGTGATTGGCTGTCACGTGGCTTGTGAACGTTTATGAAGACTGTATTTACAAAACAAAGAGGTGATTCAAGTACGTGCGTTATTCCTTCACTGTATTTTAATTTGAAACTTTTCCACCTGAGTATCAATCAAATAAGATAAACGATTTTAGCCGGAGCGTTACAATTATGGAAGTTAAATTGTTCTCTAAATCTTAATTTCGGGCGCCCACGTTTTTATAATTTTATTTAATTAACAGATTACTTTAGCCGACAAACGAGTTTTTAACTCCTTTTATCTTTTATAAATGATCTTTATTTACAGAATATTAAATATAATGGCAGGAATACACAGCATTATTGTATAGTCGTTACGATATAAGTTGGAACCGCATAAGAACATTTAACTTCTAAACTCTACGGAATCCATAGGCGCCCAGAAAAATTTTGCCCTGTCTCGTCTAGATCTAGGTAGTATATTCCGAGCTATATTCCTATGGAGTTGACTATATTTTCTAAGTTTTTGTAAACAATCTTCCCGAAGTGCAACTATACGTCGTGATTCCATAATTACCATACGATTGTCAAGTTTTTTATGTTTAAGAGTCCGTCGCGCGCTTGAAATAAACCCATTTTTAAGGGTTCGGCCCATAACACATATCTGGAAAACGAATAAACATAGCGGCCTAAATAAAAAAACAATCAAAAGACAAAGTATTTTCCTACTGCTGTCTTGTAACAGTTTTTTCAAAATTGGTTTCTAATTGTTTAAATTTTAAGAGTAAACTATGCAAGAAATCGTCATATTTACAATTTATTTACGTAAAAATAAAGGCTTAAATCAAAAATCGCTTACAAGAGGGAAGTGGGTCTATCTTTTAGCTTTGCAATGATACCAAAATTATATTGATTTGATAAAAATTACTCAAAATTCTATGCTAAATCCCGAACGTCTACAACTTCAGAAACGAATATATTTTAAATGCTGCAACCACGTGTGTTTTACTCAGTGGGATGGGCTTAGAGATTGGTAATTGCGGACAGGACCGGAGTTCAAAGAAATATCTAGTCAGTGATAATCTATACGTTTTCAATTGAGAGTATTGAATTAATCGATCTTGCGGGGTTCGATTCTTTTATTTTCATTGGAAGAAGTTTTTGCATCCAATTAGATATTATATCAGAGATTGATATAAAAACTATCTTGAGTTAAAAGTTGTACGGCACAGCCAGGCAACGTTATTTCTAGCGGAAAACTAAAAAATGTATTTTTTAATAAATGTTTTTACTGCACTATCAGCGGTAATAATTAAATTTTTAATAGTAATAGTATATTTAATTTGTACAGCACA